TCAGGCGGACTCGGCCTGCGGAGGCGCCCCCCCCCGGGGGGCCACAGGGGAGTGCCTCCTCTTCAAAACTCCTCCTCCTCCTCCTCCTCCTCTCTCCCTCCTCCCTTGCCCTGCCTCCTTGTGTCTTCTCCCTCCACCTCCTCCTCTTCCTCCTCCTCCTCCTCGTGCTCATCCTCCTCCCTCCTCCTCCTCCGTCGTCCTCCTCCTCCTCCTCCCTCCTCCTCCTCCTCCTCCTCCTTCCTCCCTCCTCCTCCTCCTCCTCCCTCATCCTCCTCCTCATCCCTCCTCCCTCCCTCCTCCCTTCCTCCTCCCTCCCGTCCCCTCCCCTCCAATCCCTCTCTCCCTCCCCCCCTTATCCTCCCTCCCTCCCTCCCTCCCCTCCCTCCCTCCCTCCCTTCCCTCCTCCCTCCCTCCCTCCCTCCCTCCTCCTCCTCCTCCTCCTCCTCCTCCTCCGCCTCCTCCTCCTCCTCCTCCTCCTCCTCTCCTCCTCCTCCCTCCTCCCTTCCTCCTCCTCCTCCATCCTCCTCCTCGCCTCCCTCCCTCCCTCCCTCCTCCCTCCCTCCCCCCTCCCTCCCTCCCTCCCTCCCTCCTCCCTGGTCTCGCTCGCTTCCCTCCCTCCATCCCGTGTCCCTCCCTCCCTCCCGCCCTCCCTCCCGGCCCTCCGCTCCCCGCTCCTCCTCCGACTCCTCCTCTCTCCCTCCTCTCCCCTCCTCCTCCTCCCTCCTCCCTACTCCTCCTCCTCCTCCTCCTCCTCCTCCTCCTCCTCCTCCTCCTCCCTCTCTCTCCGCTCCCTACCCTCCGTCCCGCCTCCCTGTAGCCTCCCTCCTCCCTCCTCCTCATCTCCTCCTCCTCTTCTCTCCTCCTCCCTCTCTCCCCTCCTCCCTCCTCCTCCTCCCTCCCCTTCCCGCCTCCGCCTCCTCCTCTCTCCCCCTCCTCGTCCTCTCTCCCTCCTCCTCCTCATGCCTCCTCCTCCTCCTCCTCCTCCTCCTCCTCCTTCCTCGTCCTCCTCCTCCCTTTCCTCCTCCTCCTCCTCCTCCTCCTCCTCCTCCTCCTCCTGGAAGCCGAGGAGCGGCTGCTCGTCGCCCTCCTGTTTGAGAGGCAGGGCGACACACGCCAGCATCAGGCGCCCCCCATGGGAGGCGCACGCCCGGGCCGAGCATAGCGAGCGTTTCCTTGCTCGGCGTCTCGACATGGGGCGGAAGGGGGGGGGAGGGGGGGGGTCTGACTCGGGACCTCTGCCTTGTGCGACTGCTTGCAGCCATGCGTCCTATTGGGGGGGGGGGCCTCCACCTGCTTGAAACAGGCGCCCCAAACAGCCAAGATCTACTCCATGGGGGGGGGGGAGGGGGGGGTAAGAGGGCCCGCGCCGCTCGGCAGAACAACGTATAATTATCCCGGCAAAGCAACCTAACAGCGATGTGTAGGAGCATATCTGGAAGCATTCCCCTTAAGATTCAGATGATAATCCAGTTGTAGAGTTATGCTGTTCTCGCAGTCGTAGTCGCATTCGCGATGACAGTCGCAGCGGCAACGGCAGACGCAGTCACAGCCTCCTCAGCCTCAGCCTCAGCCTGCCTCAGCCTCAGCCTGCCTCAGCCTCAGCCTCAGCCTGCTTCAGCCTCAGCCTCAGTCTGCCTTCAGCCTCGGCCTCAGCCTCAGGCTGCCTCAGCCTCAGCCTACATCAGCCTCACTCAGCCTCAGCCTCAGCCTGCCTCAGCATCAGCCTGCCTCAGCCTCAGCATCAGCCTGCCTCAGCCTCAGCCTCAGCCTGCCTCAGCCTCAGCCTCAGCCTGCTTCCGCCTCAGCCTCAGTCTGCCTTCAGCCTCGGCCTCAGCCTCAGCCTGCCTCACCGTCAGCCTGCCTCAGCCTCAGCATCAGCCTGCCTCAGTATTCAAAATGTGGCCCAGGAGTGAAGTTCTGGGAACTCGAAGACCACGAAGTGGCCTACAGTTGGCTCCGGGCATTCAAAATGTGGCCCGGGAATGAAGTTCTGGGAACTCGAAGACCACGAAGTGGCCTACAGTTGGCCCTGGGCATTCAAAATGTGGCCCGGGAATGGAGTTCTGAGAACTCGAAGACCACGAAGTGGCCTACAGTTGGCTCCGGGCATTCAAAATGTGCCCGGGAATGGAGTTCTGGGAACTCGAAGACCACGAAGTGGCCTACAGTTGGCTCCGGGCATCCAAAATGTGGCCCGGGAATGGAGTTCTGGGAAGTCGAAGACCACGAAGTGGCCTACAGTTGGCTCCGGGCATCCAAAATGTGGCCCGGGAATGGAGTTCTGGGAAGTCGAAGAGCACGAAGTGGCCTACAGTTGGCTCCGGGCATCCAAAATGTGGCCCGGGAATGGAGTTCTGGGAAGTCGAAGAGCACGAAGTGGCCTACAGTTGGCTCCGGGCATTCAGAATGTGGCCCGGGAATGGAGTTCTGGGAGGTCGAAGAGCACGAAGTGTGTGACTGTTTGCGAAAAACGAGTTCGGACCCAGCTCCCCGGATGCCGCCGGGACCCCCCTGTGGAGTCATCTGCTGGTCTCTTTTGACCCCACTAGAAACCTATCAGTCTTCGCTGTTAGGTAAAAAAAACGATCACATATGCAGCACGAGCACAGTGTTTGGGCGGGGCTGCGACAAATAGGGCGGCTGGACATGGGGGGTGGCCCAAATGGGAGGTGAAGAAAAAGGCCTCGTGTCCGCGGGCTTTCGGCCGAGGAGCCCAGCACGCGAGGCCGCGGACACGGAAATGCGTCTCGCAAAAGGAGCAGTCGCGTCTGGCATCCGGCTGCCTTTTTGTCTCGAGGCCGTGCCCGGGTGCCGCGGACCCCCCCCGAGCCACCGCCGCCGCCGCCGCTCGAGCAGCTGCCGGGCCGAGGGGGAAGAGGCGCGGAGGGATCGAGGACACTGCGCTCAGGTCGGGCATGTCTCCCTGCAGGCGGAGTTTGGGGGACAAAAAATTATCCCAGCAAAGCAACCTAACAGCGATGTGTAGGAGCATATCTGAAAGCATTCCCCTTAAGATTCAGATGATAATCCTGTTGTAGAATTCTGCTGTTCTCGCAGTCGTAGTCGCATTCGCGATGGCAGTCGCAGTGGCAACGGCAGTCGCATTGACAGCCTCAGCCTCAGCCTGCCTCAGCCTCAGCCTCAGCCTGCCTCAGCCTCAGCCTGCCTCAGCCTCAGCCTCAGCCTGCTTCAGCCTCAACATCAGTCTGCCTTCAGCCTCGGCCTCAGCCTCAGCCTGCCTCAGCCTCAGCCTGCATCAGCCTCAGCCTCAGCCTCAGCCTCAGCCTGCCTCAGCATCAGCCTGCCTCAGCCTCAGCATCAGACTGCCTCAGCCTCAGCCTCAGCCTGCTTCAGCCTCAGCTTCAGTCTGCCTTCAGCCTCGGCCTCAGCCTCAGCCTGCCTTAGCCTCAGCCTGCATCAGCCTCAGCCTCAGCCTCAGCCTGCCTCAGCCTCAGCCTGCCTCAGCCTCAGCCTCAGCCTGCTTCAGCCTCAGCCTCAGTCTGCCTTCAGCCTCGGCCTCAGCCTCAGCCTGCCTCAGCGTCAGCCTGCATCAGCCTCAGCCTCAGCCTCAGCCTCAGCCTCAGTCTGCCTTCAGCCTCAGCCTCAGCCTCAGCCTGCCTCAGCTTCAGCCTGCATCAGCCTCAGCCTCAGCCTCAGCCTGCCTCAGCATCAGCCTGCCTCAGCCTCAGCCTCAGCCTGCCTCGCCTCAGCCTCAGCCTGCTTCAGCCTCAGCCTCAGTCTGCCTTCAGCCTCGGCCTCAGCCTCAGCCTGCCTCAGCCTCAGCCTGCATCAGCCTCAGCCTCAGCCTCAGCCTGCCTCAGCATCAGCCTGCCTCAGCCTCAGCCTCAGCCTCAGCCTCAGCCTCAGCCTCAGCCTGCTTCAGCCTCAGCCTCAGTCTGCCTTCAGCCTCGGCCTCAGCCTCAGCCTGCCTCAGCCTCAGCCTGCATCAGCCTCAGCCTCAGCCTCAGCCTGCCTCAGCATCAGCCTGCCTCAGCCTCAGCCTCAGCCTGCCTCAGCCTCAGCCTCAGCCTGCTTCAGCCTCAGCCTCAGTCTGCCTTCAGCCTCGGCCTCAGCCTCAGCCTGCCTCAGCCTCAGCCTGCCTCAGCCTCAGCATCAGCCTGCCTCAGCATTCAAAATGTGGCCCGGGAATGGAGTTCTGGGAACTCGAAGAACACGAAGTGGCCTACAGTTGGCTCCGGGCATTCAAAATCATGCCCAGGAATGGAGTTCTGGGAACTCGAAGACCACGAAGTGGCCTACAGTTGGCTCCGGGCATTCAAAATGTGGCCCGGGAATGGAGTTCTGGGAACTCGAAGACCACGAAGTGGCCTACAGTTGGCTCCGGGCATTCAAAATGTGGCCCGGGAATGGAGTTCTGGGAACTCGAAGAGCACGAAGTGGCCTACAGTTGGCTCCGGGCATTCAAAATGTGGCCCGGGAATGGAGTTCTGGGAACTCGAAGAGCACGAAGTGGCCTACAGTTGGCTCCGGGCATTCAAAATGTGGCCCGGGAATGGAGTTCTGGGAACTCGAAGAGCACGAAGTGGCCTACAGTTGGCTCCGGGCATTCAAAATCATGCCCAGGAATGGAGTTCTGGGAAGTCGAAGACCACGAAGTGGCCTACAGTTGGCTCCGGGCATTCAAAATGTGGCCCGGGAATGGAGTTCTGGGAAAGCTCGAAGAGCACGAAGTGGCCTACAGTTGGCTCCGGGCATTCAAAATGTGGCCCGGGAATGGAGTTCTGGGAAGTCGAAGAGCACGAAGTGGCCTACAGTTGGCTCCGGGCATTCAAAATGTGGCCCGGGAATGGAGTTCTGGGAAGTCGAAGAGCACGAAGTGGCCTACAGTTGGCTCCAGGCATTCAGAATGTGGCCCGGGAATGGAGTTATGGGAGGTCGAAGAGCACGAAGTGTGTGACTGTTTGCGAAAAGCGCATTCGGACACGAGTTCGGACACAGCTCCCCGGATGCCGCCCCGACCCCCCTGTGGAGTCATCTGCTGCTCTCTTTTGACC